CCACTGCACGTCTTGTATATGGGAACCACCAGACCCTGACAAATTCACTCTGTATCCATAGGTTTCGATTCCAAGACTCAAACATCTTGTAGTCTGTGTCAATGCTCTGTTCCCACTTCAAAGTAAAGGCTGGAACTGCCTGGAAGGTAACTTCGGTAATGATACCAATAGCGCCGAGAGAAAGAAGGGCAGCTCCGAAAAGGTCCGCCTTGATATCTTTGGAGCAGTGCACTGTGGTTCCATCTGCCATTGTCACCTTCAGGGAAACGATATCTTCGGACATCAGTCCATGGCGTAGACTGCTTCCGTGGGTACCTGTTGAGATAGCACCACTAATAGACTGCTCATTGATGCTTCCAAGATTTGGCATCGTGAGTCCATGCTTCTCGAGCTCTTCACAGAGGGCGTAAAGCCTGATACCACCCTCCATGGTAACAACACCTGTATCTTTGTTCACTGAGAGGACCCTGTTGAAGTTGTCCAGGTTCACGAGCCAGCTGGATGTACAAGTGATGTTGGATGGTGAATGGCCACAGCCAGTCGTCACTAGACGCCGACGGCATCTTCGTGCCAGATTCACAACTTTTTCAACTTCAGGCAGAGACTCGGGTTGGATAAAAAGCTCTGGGAGGGACGAAAATGTGCGCGCCCAAGTGTGGTGGACATGGTGTGGCCGAGCACGAAATGGCACACTATCGTCGAACTTTTCCAGTTCTGCGGCCATGAGAGGGTCCATGGCTCTGCTCGATTTCAGACGGTAGAGAATGAACCCAAGGAATAAAAAGAGGACGGTATCAAAGGGATGCCAGGTTCAAGCTAGATATCAGAAGATGTGTGGGATATGATTGCTTGATGCCGAAGTGGGTGTAGTCGAATTTGATCGCTTGCAGGTGGGTCAGTACCGGAATCGCAAGTCTGCTGGCAAAGTGACAAGGCCAGTTACATTAAGCTCATTCTTCGTTTTGTGTCATATTGGCTTCTAAAGGCATACACGGAGAGTCAAACACCTCATTTTGACAATTTCTGGGGGCAGAAATGTGAGTTTTGTAAGCCGAAGGCAACTCAAAGCACGCAAAAGAACAACCGAAGGCATAAAAAAAGGCCGATCATCAGAGGTCCCTGGATCGTTATGACAGGGTATTGGCGATCGCGCTTCTGACTCTGGTTGGCTCCGATTCAATTCTAGACGTCAACGATATTCACCGGCCCAGGCCGAGATGGTTATGCTTTCTAAGCGACGACAGGGATGTTAGATGGTGTCATCCTCTCAGCGCATATTCAGCGCACATAGGAAGGCAGCTACCCTACGATCTTGTCCATGACTTGAGACATTTCTTAATCGGTTTATCTCGCGCCCCTAGCAATCAGTGCAAATTAGTTGAGTTATGGATTGACATAGCCATTTGACTTTTCTCACTATAGTTGAGTCGCATATGAAGATTTATTCACAAGCTAGGCATCATATAATATTTAAATATGCTCTTAGACATAGTCTGGAGAGGAAGCAAAATCCAAGGCCATTCACAGCATCGGTGCAGAAAGGGTTCCCTAGATAACTATTTAGATACTACTTCGCCAACACTGGTCTATTCCCCATCAGTCCACAACAAGTAGCGAGTAAACCAGTGAATGAATACATTGAGTTGATACCAGTACCTATGAGTCTGCGATCGATGGGCTGTTTACGATTTGCTAACACTGCTCACAAATCAAGTAAAATCCAACTCAAAAACTAATAGTCTTAAAGAATGACATCAATTGAGTGAGGACAGCTGGCTATGAGCCCCCCGAGTCGTTTAGCTTCATATATATGCTACATAAGTACCCGAACCTAAAACATATAGTATATATTGACACATAATACTCGTATAGCCAGTGATATTTCGTGACGGCCCGACAGCGGAATATCTAGGCTGGAATCGATTGAGTTTACTAGACTCAGGTATCACGAGACTGCTCGACGGAACTGGGAGCTCCCTTCGCCGCCAATACTTCTCTTTGTATCATCTACTATCCCTTCTTCGAATAACTTCGCCCACACGGCTGCTAGTGAGGCAGTATTCCAGCCACCAAGTCGCGCAATACCATCTCTCATTGCTAATTCGGCGGCCACCGAGGTGACAAGCTTACCTTCAAGGCCACAAGGAACAAAACGAGCCCAAGGATTAACAACGTCGGGACCGTCTACCGAGACGTCGATGTTGATAGCAATACCAAGGGCTGTGACGTGTCTCCGATGATGAACTCCAATTGCTGCGATTTTACGTTCTGGTTGGCCGACGGGGGTACGGACCCAGACTCCAGGTTCATCTCGAGTTGTGTAAGTTTCTAAACCGAACAAACATGCCAGTAGACGACGTGTGGTCGCTTCAAGATGGTTCGCATACGACACGACTGAGTAATGCACATATAGGGGAGAGTGCATGTCTAGCACAGGCCACAAGACAAGCTGTCCAGGGCCATGGTAGGTCGTCAGACCACCACGGCTTGTCTGTTTGACCTCGGGAATGAAGCTCTGATCATTGACAGGGTTACGCCGATGAGGGAGACTAACGTGGAGGGGAGACTTGAAGTAGGAGGTTTGCTCGGAAGTGAGGGGACGCTGTCGACGCCCAAGCGTGAGAGTTGGTGTTGGTTCAAAAGAAAGAAGACGAGGACGGGGTATGTGGCCTCTGTCTTGTTGTCGTTTCTCGCTCAAACTCTTCCACTCGAGAAACAACGAGCGGAGTTCTTCCTGCTCATTGTTGGCAGTGTCATAAGGGACGAAAGCATCAGGACCCGATCCTGTGAGATGTCGATGCACGAGAAGGTTGAGTGAAGGTAGTTCTGACGTCGGAGTGGCGTAAGTGGATGACCATCGGTTGAAGAAGACATGACCGGCCGATGTCCCGGCTCCGATACGGAACGAAGTGGATTGTATGGCGGAGGACGGAATGGCCTTCAGCCGCAAGCCAAGCGGCATTGTGGTCCGGCTTCCAGGCAGATTCCCCGGCGAAAGTGCCAATTACAGAGCCCGTAGAGTAGCTACGATTAATTGGGATCGATCTGGCTTGTCGTACTGTATGTTCAAGATCACAGACCGGGGGTAACCTCCGAACAAACTCTGGCGTCGGCCTGCGCGATATGCCTTGGTAGGAAGTGAGTTTGTGACCCTTCTGGTGGACGATCCCGTGGGGCTCAGAAAAGCCGGCGGTGGTGACGTCGGTAGCTCAGGGCCGAAGATCCACGGACGGAGGCCGCCGAGAGTCTAATTTCGAAATTGGCCTTTGCATGTGAAGTCTACTTTAAACTGATATTCGATATTCGATATGGAAGAGAAACCTTGTGCGCACGTTGAAGTGTTTGAGCTTCGCGATTGTGGCTTTGGCAGTTGAAAAATTCAAAAGTAACCACACACAACAGGCTGCCAAATGACAGGCAGTATGTAACACTGGAGCACATACTTGTATAACTTGTATACAATGCCAGCTGAAACTAATAAACTAACTCAGGACTAGGGACTCCGTAACTACCTTACCTTAGCTTAGGTAGTTGTCTGAGATCCATACCTGGGAGAGCCGAGAGCTGAAGTGTCTCCATGGAGCTCATCAGTTGAAAACACCAGTCAGTCAGTGGGTAAGAGCTGTTCTTTTCGTCGGAGCTCCCGTCTGAAACTGCTGGTAATACGGAGAAAAATAACTCAATCAACTCGACGAAGACCATGTCTCAACACTAAGGTAAAGTACTGTAGGTCAGAAAGCGTAGCACAAGCGAGTACCAAGCTCTCGATCTTGGTAGCTTGGCGAGCATTGGCAGTCTCAAAAGCTACCGCCCCGTCCATCATCGACAATCACTGCCTTTTCGTATTTTCGTAGACGTACGTCGCTGTCGCATCATTCACTTGTGTCTCATGACATCAGGGAAGTGGTGCGCTAAACCCCAAGAGGGACAAAATGGTTGCTACAGCTTTGCTCCATTGGGTAAGATGTTGTGGTGCATCTCTTGTCCATCGTCGCCCACTGTCGTCATCACTGAGCTGTCGTGCACTCGGAACTTTTCTCTACCTTAGGTAGATGCACTAGTCTAGCAAGTTCCTGTCGCTTCGGGCATCGAAGGTTGCCAGGCTAGATCCGTAGGAATAAGGTGGAAGCATCATCTCCTGCCCACCAGAATCCAGAGCATTCAGTGCCTCCGTTGGCATTTACTTTAGTGTGATTCATTCAGAGTGCTGCAGCCGGGATCAATGGGCCCTGGGCCTGGGCGAGCGGCGAGCACCCGTCAAGGGTGGCAGCCCACGGCGACCTACGTAACGCCTCCATGGTGATTTCATTTGGGCTGCGTTCCTTTCTCAAGTGACAAGTCGTTATGCGGCCCTCATGCATCTGGCTACAATCCCCTCCTCTCTCTCCTCTGCAAAGTCATTCATGTGCCCAAGTTATCTCACTGGGAACTCCGTGTCTTTCCTCAGCCGAAGGGAGAAGAAACATACTAATCACCGTCGTACAATTCGACTAAGACACACATCTCCCGGTCCCCACACCGACAAGCCAGTCCGTCTCCCGAGCATCACATCACCCCTAGACGCTAAGGAAAAGGCTCCAGAAACAAAAACAAGAAACCCTCCCAGAGCTAATGAACAAGGTTCATAAGGATCGTCAATCTCCTCAGCCCAGGTCCTATTTCCCTTCCGGCTCCCTCTTCCTACTTTTATAAGATCCATCGCCATCTCTCAACAGTTCCAGACGCCTGTTCTCTACAGCGCAAGCAAACTCTGAACCCTTGTCAAGAGGTACCAAATAAGACGCAAGATTTCACTAGCCGTCTTTTTAGCTGCAGCATTTTCCTTGAGGGTGATCCTGGCAGCGTGACGACATCCAATTCCCGGGGCTCCATCGCAGTAAATTAACCGTTTCGAGTTCGATTTTTTGGGCAGAAGTGCTTGCAGCAACGCTTGATTTTGATCGATCGTGGCCCGATACTGTTCAGCTGGGGAATAGTATACTCTCCAACGGCATATAGCCATGGCGAAGAGTAAGTTCTCTCTCTCTTGACTTAGTTGTATGGCTTTTCCAACGGACAACTGGCTGACCTGTCGCAGACGCTCCTCTTGGCCTCGCTGGCCTGGTCCTCCTCGCTGTTTCCCTCCTCTTCCTCTGGTTCATCATCCTCTCAGGCTTGACATCTACCACGCCATTCGACAAGACGTATTTCCTCCGCGCCGACACTGGCGGTATCTCGGGTGCCCGTGAAGTCACGCAATGGAACTTCTTCTACATTTGCGGTGCCGGCAACAACGATTGCGATGGCGCCCGCGCTGCCCCCGTCATCGGTCGTGCCTGGGACTCAAACCCACGTAATGCGCCCAGCTCGCTTGTCGGTGGCCGTGCTGGTGACACCACATCGAACAGACAGTTCTTCTTGTGGAGGTTTGGCTGGGTCTTCATTCTGATTACTCTTTTCTTCGAGACCCTCGCCTTCTTCACTGGCTTCATTGCCTGCTGTGGTCGTCTTGGTGCTGGAATCTCTAGCATCATGTCCATGTTCGCCCTGTTCTGCTCCTCAGTCGCAATGTCCCTGATGACGTATGTATCTCTGGCCCCTGTATGATGCTATAGCTGTTTACTGACATCTCTCGTTAGTGCTACATGGGTTCTCGCTCGCAATGCCTTTCACCGAGACGGTCGATCGGCCTCCATTGGCCGCTATGCCTTTGGTTTTGCGTGGGCATCATGGGCCACTTTGCTTATTGCTACCATTCTCTTCTGCTTAGGCATGCGCGGTGACAAGTCGTCAAGTGGAGGTTACAGCGGCCGCTCATGGCGCCGTAGACGAAGCGTCCGCAGCAGCCACGGCGGAGGCTATGAGGGCCGCCGTGTTAAGGATGACTATTCCTAAACTTTGACCCGGCAGCTGTCTGCTAGGCCAAGTCCCAGATACTCCCCAAATCTCGGCAGAGCTCGATGAGGGATGAGCATTAACAGTCACAGTGATCGTATCCACGACAGCCTCAATGGTTTTTCGCACGCGATGCTGGAATTTTGTCGCGTCTATATTTGATTCACTATCCATGATTTGTTCTACTGAGCAGATTTGTATTCATGATGTGTTTGGCGAGGAGAATGGGTTTTCTCTAAACGTAATGTTGAAGTTACGGGCGGGATCTACGAGAAGCTTGCTTTCATCAACTGTCTAATAGTTATTATGAATGTACGATATTACAATAATGCAAGCGTCTTTGAAGTTTTAATACTCTAGTTTCTGTTTCTCGATATTTTCACCAGTTATTATGTAGACATTATCAGCTAATAACCCTGAGCTTCATGGCGTCACACAACAGTACTTATTATTGCAGCGAGGATAGGGCAAGGTGTCGTTGCATAGTTCACGAGGCACCGGATGTTATAACTTCAAATCATTATGCATGTACCATATTGACGTTATTCGTCCATTCGCCAAACCATGAAGTGCATATCACACCCTACCCTAACTCTCGTCAAACGATTGAAGCCTGAAGTCACCCCCAAAGCCCTCTCTTTTATCCTGTGTTGTTCGCCGCTGTCCCTTTCGTTCGAGCACATGAAATGAAAACAACAACATGCTATCCTGGTTCGTTTTCCAACTTGGTCCATTCGCCCAGTTTTGTTCTTACGAAAAACAAATGCCAAAATCCGGCCCGAATTTGTCTAAACCCACCCTAAAGCGTGTACAGGAGTGTCCTCCAAAAAATGCAGAAAAAGAAGGTCAAAATGATGCAACACATGCTGATGCCTGGGGACTTTGTGCTGTGTTACTGCTGATGATGAAAGGTCAACACCTTGGAAAGAGCCGTCGCATCAGTTGAGCAGATGCTTGTTATCCATAGTCCTGTAGCCAACTAGATACCTGCTCTGTTAGCATGCTTCCTAGATGGCCGAGTGTCCCCCCCCAAAGAAGCAGGATAGGGCCGCCCCGGCTTTTCAAGCTTTTATGCATCCTTTGGGCTTGACATAGGACTGACGCTATCAAGCGGTGCATTGTGTAGTGCTGGTTTCAAGAGCCCGTCCTCCTTCAGGCCATCTTTCTCTCGTTGTAGAACGCCATTGACCCAAGCTGCCACTTCAGCATCTGCAGTTGATGAGTTCAAATTAATTTTACCAACAGCTTCCGCGACCGTATCAACTCCGTCACCCTCCTCAGCTTCTTCCGTAATTGTTTGAGGCTTTGTAAATTCGACGAGCCACGGATGTTTCAATAGCATGGCGTAGGTTGGCCGCTTCATAGGAATCTTGTGAAGACAGCTTTTCACAAAATCCTTAGCCATTTCCGAGTAAGTGTCCTCTGGCATTGCAGGCGGTTCACCTTCAACAATAGCCTGTAGCATGTTAGTAACCCATGACTGGCTTAACTCAAAAGAAGGAGGGCTTACACTCAGTTGGCTGAAAATAGTAGAAGAGACCTCCGGTGGGTAAGGATAAGCGCCTTTAGCACACTCGATGATGGTCAGGCCCAAACTCCAGACATCGCTTTGAACGCTGTATGAGCCATCGGAGTTACCGGCTTGTGCGAATCCGCCACCAGAGATCCTCTCGGGGGCCATATAGCTCTGGCAGCCGATGTTGGTTCGCGCTATACTGGCTACCAGATTACCACTGACACCAAAATCGCAAATCTTGACCTGGCCTCGTGTATTGACCAAGATGTTTGTTGGTTTGACGTCGCGATGGATAATGCTGTGCTCCTCCTTCAGTGATTTGAGTCCCATCACGGTAGAATATGTGATTTTTCGAAGAACATTCTCCGGAATTCCACCATTATACAGCTTATCGATGGACCCGCCGTCCATATACTCAATGCACATGTAAACAGCACCCTCCTGGAAGAAGGCGCCGTAAAATTCGATGATATACGGAGAAACACACTCGTGTAAGATGACGAGCTCCTTCAGAATGGTTGTGAATTTGGCGTCGTCAAGCTCCAGGCGCATTTCTTTCATCGCCATCACTGTGCCCGTTGTACCGTCGGTCGTCTCTGACAAGCCCTCGGCAGAATCTTCTGCAGATCTAACGGGAGAAGGGTCCGACTGCGAATACTGGACGGGGAGAGGCTTTCTTGAGAGGCCTTGTCCGAAGCGAGGGACTCTTCGCTTGGCATGCTTGACCTTGTAGACTGTTCCGTAGTTTCCTTTACCCAGCTCGGTCAAGACTTCAACCTCATCAAGAGATATGCTGAAGGTTTGGCCATTGGCAAAGTTGACGCCTGTCCGTGTGATTGTGGCAGCGCCATCAAATGTCACCCAGCCCTTCTCTGTGTCGATATATTTCTTGAAGTCATCCATTTTGGACCCCTGACCACTCCCTGCTCCGTTGGATCGTTGACTACCTGGCGCATCACCTGTAATATCAGAAAGCTTTCCAGGAGGCCCCCGTTTCTTACCAGAGGCGGTGACAGGGCTGGGTCTACTCATATCAGACAGCTTCATGCCCATGCCGCCGCCCATGGCCCTTCTCTCGCTCAGCGAGGGCTTCGTTATCGCAGGAGCTGAATTGACGTGTGGTGCATGCGGTCGTTGCATATTTGGCGGCAATCCCAGGTTGGTAGGGAATCCGTTAGCGATGCTGGCTGTAGGCGATGACCCCGAGGGTGTACCGGGGTTTCCAGCGGGAGACATGCCCTTCTCCATGCGTTGTCGATGTAATGCTCGGGCTTTGGCCATTATACTGTTTTCCACCGAGGCACTACTACTTCCAGCAAAACTCGAGGATGTTTGTACAGGCCGTCTGGCCATGCCTAAAACACCCATCGCGGTTGAGTTCGGGTTCATGTTGCGAGGATCGGAGACGGAGCGCAGAGATGGTACTCTTCGGGGAGGTTCGCTTGGGCTATCATGACTGGGAGACTCGAGCGGCGTACTGGGTTCTGACGAATCTTCAGAGCCTGGAGATGCAGGTGTCGACAGATCCTTCCAGTCCTCCGGCGTGGCCGGGATCGAGTCGGAGGCAGACATCGGGTACGAGGTGCGTCGATGGAAACCAGAATACAGAAAGGCTGATTCTTCTGGCTATGTCGTTTAATGGGTTTGATAAGAGGTGGTAGGAAGGAAAACAATGGTCAGAAAATTCAGAGCAGCGTGGAAATAACGGCGAATATCCTGACAATACCGCGGGGAGCTATCGATCGGGAGACGGGACGCGATCGATTAGAGATGGGTACAAGAAGGAGCGATGGAGGGGAAATAGATGGTGCGATTCTTTTGGAGCTAAACGGAGTCAAGTAGTGGGTGGTCTAGGCCTTTGAGACTCTACCTACCTAGGTAGTACGGCTCAACGACTAGGGGCTCTTGTAGTTGGGAAGGAAGAGCAACAAAAAAAGCCTGGGGGCAACGAATGAGCCAGAACAAACGCAAGTTCTGATAAAGTTGTTGCCAGGATTGATGACCTTGAAAGGGGCTTGTCTTGCGTTATTTTGCAACGCTTGTGGCCACAGTGAGTGAACTTTGTATCAGAGTACCGTATGGCAACCTGGAAAGCTTCACGTTGAAGTTCGTTCAGGTATCCTTGGGCTCTCAGATTCGCTGAATGGACGGGAGTTGGTAAAGATGAAAGCTCGTATAGCCCATACGAAATTTGGAAGTTTGATAGATAGCTGGGACAAAAGTTGTTAGAATAAGAAATGTATTTCTCTGACCTTGTTGTGGTGTGTGCAGTGCACTCAAGGATATGAGGGTGATTTCAAGGCAGTATGCATACCGGAGGAAGCGTCTGGCTGGGATCAAGAAAAAGTTACGAAGTGTTGCAGTCCTTGAGTAGGTACCTTAAGTAAGGTAGGGAGATACCACATGTACCAACGCAGCGTGATGGGCAATGGCTGGATGCGGGGTCAAAGGTTCTGCAGACAAGCAGAACAGCAACGAGACGGAGGAGGAAAGGTGCTAATGAATAGTACAAATCGACAGCTCAATCCGGTATGCGCATCCTGCGAGAAAGTAATATGATAAGGTAGGCGCAAGAGGTATTTGTGATAAATGGGGGCGAAGGCGAGGCTGACGATGTTGGTATGGAGTTTAGGACAGAGCATGGAACGACTATGGTGTGCCGGTTTTGAACAAGCAAGACCAGGCCCGTAGAGCGCTCTGGCTTGGATACAATGCCATTGCAAATCCCGTTTCAGGGGCCAGCCCGGCCAGCCATTCATGCCCGGGATCAGACCCAACTCATGGATCATATTGGGAGATATTGCCCATCAATTCAGAATTCCCCGCGGCGGGCGCTTCGAGGACCCATCATACAGGGCATAAATATGCACTAACATCATCACCTTACCGGAAAAATTGTACAAAATTGTATCATAGTGCGATAATGAATTTCCATCAAGATAAAATCTAGGTAGGTAAGAAGCCTGCTGGCGTCATGATGACAGCATTTTATATATCTCTGTGAATATTGAGGCTTCTCTTAATATTTTACCTCAAATAGAAATATATGCAATATTGAAAATGATAATTAATTTCAAGGCTCTGTGCACAAGTTGTCCTTGATTTTTGCAATTTGCGACGCCATCGTCGATGGAGAGCTGTCACCGATGACGTTAATGTGGTCAGTGTCAGACCTTGGTTTGAGGTGGACACTCACATCTGTACGACAAAGCAAAGCGTCAAAGCTGACAATAGTACCCAAACATATGAATATCTTATCCGACATCTATCTGCAAGATATGCTGCTGGAGACCTTGTGGCCGTGTGCATCCTCATGCTACACAACTTGAATTAATAACAACCACCTACTAGGTGAGTAGCCATGGGTTGCTATATCCCTGAAAGCACATCGAAAGGATGAAGTCAACATCTATAGACCTTTGCGTTATCTATGGTATAGATAATTACTATAGCTATCTACCTACCTTGCCCAAGAGTTGCGGAACATGAATATCTCACCCTTGAATATACGCATAGACACCAGATACGTGTCTTCGACGAAGCTTCGATCGCCAAGATGTTGATGTTGAACCGACACCCTCTGTTAGTCCTACCTGTACTGACTGACACAGGCACCGTTATCTGTCCTAGTTGCGGCTTTTGACTAACTTGAGACAGTATGCAAGACAAAGCGACAAGTACGTCACAAACTTCATTGATAACTTAGGCCCCTACTTAGCTGGGGAGATTTCAACTCGATAACCAGTAGAAAGGTGTCTATTCAGAGAGGCTGACGTTGTTACCGGAAACTTGGCTGATTACGACAAGAAAAGTCGGTTGGGACTCACCGAACAGCTTCCAGAGTGCGCTCATGTAACATGAGCTTCACCGGTACTATGCATGCGCATATTTCTCAGGGAGGTTGGGAACAGAAGCGATGCTATAGGTACCAAAGCAGGCAGGCAATCAACGAGGCAAACTTGTAGCACTTGTCGCCAATATTTCATGAATCAAATCTTTCCACATGGCACATAATCTTTAGCAATGGAAAGCTCCTTTAGTCGATATCAAGCTACTCTGTACTCACGATGGGGTAATTTAAACCCACCCAATAAACGAAGTAGCTATCATTTGTCTTGTTCCATATCTGAAATAGCAACGAGCTGAGAGACCCTGACCTCAAAATGCAGCTAAGACTGCCTATCCAAGCTTGAAAGCTTCCGAAGATGATCAAGTCCAAAGTTGAAATAGACTCAAGATTCTGGGGAAGGCAAACATCGACGATGTTTCTAGTTCCTATTATATCACCAACTCACCTTTGCATGATTTGAAACACGGGCGATCCATGCAAGTCATACCATAGTATTAAACTCTAAATTCACAACGTAAACAAAGGGTCGTCGGAACAGCTGCTCGAAACCTTTATGATACAGACCCTTTGAAAAGTTACCAAACTCTGGATCATTGCAACTCTGCAATGTACCAACACAAGAACGCTAATAAAACACTAGGTGCTGTAAATTTCCCCTGAAGATAAAAATAGTAGCGATGGTTGATATCCATTGTAGTCAAAATTGAATATGAAACCCTGTTAGAGATACGCAAAAGTCTTCTAGATGCTCCGTACAGAGTGCATGTATGGGAGCCGACTGGAAATGCGAGGCGGTTTTTTTGCTATGGATACTCTGAGGTAGGTTCCTATGTACATAGTAGCTTAGTACTACCTATAGTACTAAGGTAAGAAGATACCTCAGTAACTAGGGGAGTAACTAAACTTTGAAGCTTCTATGGCAAAAGCCTACCTACTATGGAATTGTCCCGACAAACTTGCACAAATCCAGCCCAGTAGTTGTTTGGCTTGTTCCCGAGAATCTTCGCTGGATAACGTCAGGTTTGATCTCATAAAGCCTCGCGTGACTGACTACGCAATCGATAGACTTTGCCTCTGATATCAGTGTACATTCCATACAACCGTAACGATGGGATCGCCAGTCGCACAGCCTCGTTGTAGTTACCTATGTCAACATCGAGACTTGATGGGCTGCAATTTTGCTCCGTGCCTTTCTTGGCCTGACCCTCCAGCCTCTCAGCGTGGAGAGATAGGCAACGTGCCCGATAGCACCATGACGAAATATTGGCGCCACGCTTAATACAATCGTGCGTCGCGCCCGTCTGAAGATCACTCCCTCCTACAACCCTAAGCGGGATCGTTTCCTACTCGGTAGTGGAGCCACGGAGGCTTAAACAATTTTGAGACGTCTGACGATGGGATCTGCGCATTTCGGAATCGCTTGCTGCTGTTTGTTTCGTGCTCCTGGCTATCACACAACAGGGGCAATCTATTTGTTTGCTCGATGATACCAAGGGGTCACCATTTGTTGCACCGCAGCAGAAATCGTTTCTGGGTGGGTGCAAAGGGAGCCTTTATCGAAGAAGACTTTGCCTCTTACGCCTCCCATGCCGCGTGGCATTGTTAACCAAATCCCGTTCCTAGTTGGAGGCGAGATTCTACTAAACCCTGGCTTTGGACTGGCTCCGGCGCCACAGCACACATGGGCGGGTTTCAATGGCCAGCATCGCATGGGCCTGGATGGTAGGTTGGGTTACCTCAATCAGGGTGCTGGCACAAGGTGCTAGAGTTCAGTAGTTGCGCCATGTCAGCGACAGCGTTGCAGGTGAATCGCGATGAGACAGAGAGTTCCTCAAGGAGCTGAAGCCCCATATTGAGGTAACCAGAGTGAGATGTTTAGATGTAGATGGAGCCTAAACAAGGCAGTTTAATGGGGCTTTTGTCATAGCTTATATCTAGCTCGAGTTATCAATCGATGATGGAGGAGGTCTCAACGTGCATCGACCTCTAAACTTGTTCTAACTTACCTCCCAACGGCACCGCCGCCTCGCCCCAAAACGAACCCACTCGCCCTGCGTTCTCTTTCATTAGATTTCGCCATCACTACCTGGGTATCTTTTTTAACTTTCTTCTCCTTTTTAACACCCTACGGCACAATCAACTCAGACAATTAAAAGGCATTGCCTTTGCAAATACCAACGGAAACTCCAGACGAATTTTTCGCGCCCTCAGCTTTTGTGTAATTCCTTCAGAACCTTATCAGTCGTCTCATATCCAACGTGCGCGCGCGCCGAGAGAAGCAGCATCAAGTAACTCCCCGATTCGCGCCGATCCTTAATTCTACTCCCAAAACAACGACAACAACTGTATTGTCGATATTTGATGGCTTCTTGGAAATCGTTCTCGGTTCCGTCGTTTCGGCTGACGCAGCTCGCTCAAGATGCATATGAACTGCCCCTACAAACACTCGCCAACACCCATGAATCGCACCCATCCATCGGGCATCTTTGCCTTCTCGTGTTCGAGGCTGTCCTTGAAGTAGTATGTGTCAGTCTACCTGGCTACATCGTTGCGCGTCTTGGCCACTTCGATGCCGAGAAGCAGAAATTCTTGGCAAATCTAAATGTGATGCTATTCACGCCATGCTTGAGTATGTTCTTATTTCGCATTGAACCAGTCCTGCGCTAACATCGCTACAGTTTTCACCAAGCTCGCCTCCCAGCTCAACGCTGAGAAGCTATCCGATCTCGCCATCATCCCGGTAATCTTCGTCGTCCAAACGTTTGTATCATGGGTTGTATCATATGTCGTCGCAAAGTTGTTCCGATTCAACAGGAGGGCATCCAACTTCGTTACAGCGATGGGTGTATTCGGAAACTCCAACTCGTTACCCATCTCCCTTGTTTTGTCACTCTCTCAAACGCTGAAAGGTCTGCATTGGGACAAAGTTCCTGGCGATAACGATGACGAAGTTGGCGCGCGTGGTATCCTTTATCTCCTCATCTTCCAGCAGCTTGGTCAGCTCGTTCGCTGGAGTTGGGGTTACCATGTCCTTCTTGCCCCTAAGGATAAATACCCCGAGTACCGCGAGGAGATTGCCGAGGAAGGTCAGCGTTATCACGATGATGAGAATCAGGATGACTACCAGAGTGCGGCTCTGATTGATGGCCTTGACGGAGAAACAGAGGACGAGGGAGACAGCCACAGCATCGACTCGCAAAATTATGATCCTGCTGGCCGTACCCCTGTGGCAAATGCCTCACGAGTTTCACTGGCAGTCTCTAGCGACGACGAATATCTGCCCAAAAAGCCGCATTTCAAGAATAACCAAGAACAACCGAATGTTGTTGCTCCCCTTAATGGAAATGAAGGTAGCATGGATTCCTTCCCCCGTGTCCCGGCATTGGAGGATCAGGAAGAGCCCATTGGCATCGCGGACCGGACTAAATCTGCCATTAAATCGCCCTTCATCCGTTTCAGAAAGGCAACATCCCAAACCCTCGGCAAGTGGTACCAGAAGTCTCCAGCTCCTGTCAAATCTTGCTTGAAATTTTCGAAGCGTGTGGCCGGGAAATTCAACAACTTCATCTGGGAATTCATGAACCCCCCCCTCTGGGCCATGTTGATTGCCATCCTCGTTGCCTCTATCCCGGCTCTTCAACGACTCTTCTTTGAGGAGGGCTCTTTCGTCCAGAATAGTGTGACCAACGCCGTTCGCTCTAGCGGAGATGTCGCTGTCCCACTGATCCTCGTTGTTCTCGGCGCCAATCTTGCTCGTAATACCATGGCTAAAGACGAGGCTTTAGACCCTGAGGAAGAGCGCATCGGAAACAAACTTCTTATTGCCTCCCTTCTTTGCCGTATGGTTCTACCGACTGCCATCATGGCTCCTATGCTTGCGCTCATGGCCAAATATGTACCCGTTAGCATTCTTGACGATCCAATTTTTGTTATCGTTTGTTTCTTGCTCACAGGAGCTCCCAGCGCCCTCCAGCTTGCTCAAATTTGTCAAATCAACAGTGTGTTTGAGAAGACAATGGGCAGAATCCTGTTCCAGAGCTATGTCATCTGGTAAGTCATGGCACCTGATCCTCGGTATAATCCATCCCGAATTGCGCTAACATATGCAGGATTCTTCCCTCTACTCTCATTTTGGTAATGGTGGCCCTTGAGGTTGTTGAGTGGGCTCGATGATGCGCTTGTCGTCTCCATACACTAGACAGAGAAGTGAAATGATCATGTCTTTCATGCGTCAAATGCTAGTTGTTGAGTTTGTTTAATCTGTCTTTACAGTTGTTTGTCTGCAAAGGCGTTGGGTGCCTGGAATTGATTGGGAATCAGGAAAATTTATACTGGCGTGGCCTAGCGGCAATCCGAGGATTCACAAAGCTTGACCTGGTGGAAGAGCGATATGATGCGTTCTTTTGGCCTGCTTTTGCTTCGTGTGAAAAGGGCACGGGTTTTGAGGAATTGATCTACATAGTGCCCTATCTGTAATGCCTGTGCCTTGCGGATGATAGAAATATTCAATATTATCACATTGGATCGTTAAACCACCAATGTACCTTACTGCATCTTGAAAACTGATTGCTAAAGTACAATGATCAGGCTTTGGCCAAGGATGTCGAGACTGCAATATAATCATTCTTGCTGAGTTCCATTGACCAGGTTACCTTCCGGCACGATGGCCCAGTCTCTTACAGTGCCCTTCCAATCGCTGATGCGTACATCCTTGATATCGACCGAAACAACTCTTACTTCCTCACCGGCTACAAAGCAGCTGCGGCCTCCATCCTCGACAGGTCCATTGTCCCGTTGGAAAGGCTGAGCTGCGGACTCATCGAAAGTGTTGTTCTCCAGATGCTGCTCGCGGTAATACTTTTCCTCCTCTGTTCCGCCAGGCACTAGGCGAGCGGCACCTCCTATGGTTGCACTGATGCTAGAGAGTGCTGAAGTGTTGAGGTTCAAGAGGAGTGAGGCGAGACTCGATCGGTGCTCTGGGCCAGGAGAGCCACCAGACGGTCGGCGGCCGTGAGTAGGTGGTCGATGGGAGACCCCTGAAAATAATTTCAGTATGTTTAGATTTCACTAGTCTCGAACATGAAGATGCGACTTACAATCGTGGACAAGAAGAGATACATTGGGGTTGGCGACCAAGTTTGTGGTCTTCCGTGATGCCGGGTTCGTAGTCATGATGATGACAGGGTAGTTAGAATAAGGTGAAGAGGGAAGATATGTATAGTTCATTAGAGAGACATGCGGCACGTTGTCGGTGCATGTTGCCAAGTGAAGCTATATGGATTATCAGCCTTCGATCTGTGATGATGGCATTGTTGGTGGTGCGGGGAAGGTCTACAAATCGAGCATTGTCGAGGCATTGAACGACATCCGGCGGAAGCGTCGACGTAGTTTGCTTGTGGGTATCGCCCTGAGAAGCTTCGGAGTTGAGAGGTATTTGATCCATGATATATTGGCTGAACGATGATTGATGATGCTCTGACCCAATATCTTGAGGTAGTGGAGGGGCTCGACTTGCTGCACGGTACGTTCCGCAAATCCCGGTCCCAGGATCTGCTGAGTCACCCATGATTGCAGGAATATGACGTAATGACACTGGGCGTGCTTTCCCCAGAGTTCGTTCGAGCTAGCTTCTGACCTGTCGTCTGGGGAAGGTACCTAGGTACCGGTTACTTGCGGCTCCTCACGGTCACGTCTGTCCTTGCCGACTTGAACCTTCAAAGCCGACGGCATAGCACATTCACGGCATTAGGGACGGCTCATCACCCGGGACGGAGATTTTCAGTCGGTTTCTCTCCTTATTTATGTCAGTGAGAATCATTTTGAATTTCTGTCAAGTTGCATACTGCTCCTTGATCTCACACTGGGCGCTTCATTAACCCCATCGCTCATCATGCGTTCCACACTTCGCGCAAACCGTCGACTTCCTTTGAAGCCCCTCCCTCGATTCCTCTCAACATCTGCGTCAAGCGCTTCTGTATCTTCAGTGGCTTCCTCATCATCTGCACCAAAGCACACGCCCATCAATTCTGTCCTTATCGCCAACCGTGGTGAGATCGCCATCCGTATCAACCGGACTGCTGAGCGCCTTGGCATTCGGGCCACAACCGTCTATACAGATGTTGACGCTGGCTCATGGCATGCTTCTTCGGGGTTCCAGTCTTTGACGCTAGGGCCCGCAAACGCCTATCTTGACGGTGAGAAAATCATTGCTCTAGCGAAGCAAAATGGCATCCAGGCCCTCCATCCCGGCTATGGTTTCCTATCCGAAAACTCCAAGTTCGCAGAGCGTTGCGAAGAGGAAGGCATCGTGTTTGTCGGACCACCCGCTAGTGCCATGGCCGACATGGGACATAAGGCCCGCAGTAAAGAAATTATGACAGCTGCAAATGTTCCCTGTGTGCCAGGGTATCATGGAGCAGACCAGGGCGAGCAAGAACTCCTGGAGCATGCCAAAAACATCACTTTCCCGGTGCTCCTCAAGAGTGTACGAGGAGGCGGAGGCAAGGGAATGCGAATCGTCCTGACTGAGGAGGAGTTCTTGACGCAACTCAGAAGTGCCCGTGCCGAAGCCAAGGCCTCATTTGGTGAAGGAGGCGAGGTCATGCTAGTGGAGAAGTACATCATTCGACCAAGGCACGTTGAGGTGCAAGTCTTTGCCGACAAATGGGGCAATACCGTTGCGCTTGGTGAGCGAGACTGCAGTGTTCAGCGTCGGCATCAAAAGATCCTCGAAGAATCCCCAGCTCCAGATCTAGATCTGGCAACTCGACACGATCTCTGGGATAAGGCGAGAAAAGCAGCCTCAGCAGTTGGGTATGTTGGCGCTGGTACTGTTGAGTTTATCCTCGACAAGGATACCAACAAATTCTATTTCATGGAAATGAACACTCGACTTCAAGTGGAGCATCCTGTCACGGAGATGGTGACTGGCCTGGATCTAGTCGAATGGCAATTCCGAGTTGCTGCAGGCGAAAGGCTTCCACTCTCCCAAGAAGAGGTGGAAGTACAGATGAATGAGAGGGGTGCCGCCATTGAAGCACGAATTTATGCCGAAAATCCTGAGAAGGGCTTTATTCCTGACTCCGGCAAATTAGTGAGAGCTTATCTCCCTGCTGAATTACAGAACGAGGATGTTCGCCTGGATTGGGGATTCCGATCTGGTAATACTATCTCTGAAGCATATGACGGCATGATCGCCAAACTTATCGTGCGAGGCGATACGAGAGAACGTGCTATCGCCAAATTGGAGAGCATTCTACGCTCATACGAAATTGTTGGTGTTGCTACAAATATCGAATTCCTCAAGCGGCTTTGCGAGACTGATGCCTTTGTGGCCGGAGACGTGGAAACGGGCTTCATCGACAAGTGGCGAGAGGAGCTTTTCAAACCCCGACTTATCAAGAATGAGGTTGTCGCTCAAGCAGCCCTCGGGATGATCAACTTTGAACTTCGAAATTCTGGCCCCCATGGCTTGACACTTGGCTTTGGCGAAACTAACAACATCGGGGAACGAAAGCTGAACTTTAAAATCCTGGATGGGTATAGCAAGGAGGAGGGCGAGGTCGTCGAGGCCAGCGTGACACAGACAGGCCATAACCTTTACAACGTTGCTGTCCACCGAAAAGGTGACGAAGCACCCCAGGTATTCACAAATATTGCCTGCCAGCCCGAGCCCGAAGGTGAAGTGATGAAACTCGAGTCATACTTCCCCCTTGAGCGAATTCAATCCTCCGTGGTCCCTCAACACACAGACAATGACACAAAGGTTACTGTTTTCCAGCATGGCGTGAAAACAGATCTTGTCCTTCTACCGCCCAAGTGGTACGAGAAGGCTCTTGGGCTCAAGGAGTCAAGCGCCTCAGTTGCAGCGCCGATGCCGTGCAAGATATTGAAGAACGAAGTAGTGGAGGGTCAAACTGTGCAAAAGGGAGCACCACTTGTGGTGTAAGTTAACCATCTCCGATATGCAGAAAAAGCTAACCATCTCTCAGAATCGAGTCAATGAAGATGGAAACTATTATCCGGTCGCCGCAGGATGGCATAATTAAGAAGCTCGCACATAAAGAAGGGGTAAGTTCCCAGAGGCAATCCTCTCCGATATCTCATCTAACGTCATGCAGGATATTTGCAAGGCTGGTACAGTACTTGTACTATTTGAAGAGAGCGAAACAAAGGACGGAGAGTCATGAATGATATTGGATACCATGATGAATGAATTTGGCGTTGCTTAAATGATATTGGCTGATACGCTACCTACTAAAGAGAAATGCACATGATCCCCTCCCAGTCGTTGGGCCTGTTCCACTTCATCAAATACGTAAAGAATTTCCAATGTCAAAACATGCGTACGCCTAGACACCAATAGCTCCATTAACTGAAATCATGAATCATGCTATGTCTGAAACTGTATCCCATAATAAGCCAAAGAACATATACCCTGAACCCAAGGCGACAGAGGGTCGGGTCTGTCGTCGTCGTGGCAGAATCTTATGCCATATGATCGATTATCTTGTGTGCATCTTTATGTACTCCAAGGGTAGATATCGAGAAAGTTTTGATTGCTTAGCCGCTTGATGTATTCGTTTCCACCAGTCTTCGAGACGTGCCTGGAATTTTGGGTCATCGGGCGAAGTATAAGTAGTAAGCTTGTTGAGAAGATCCTGAAAGAGATGTCAACAGAGCGTTTGAGCATAGCACGTCATTCAAGCGACTTACCTCCTCCAAGGCCAGTGTGATGAATCCCATTACGAACGCCACCCAAGCAAGAGTCCCCTTCGTACTTAAGAATTGGTTGCCCCCCCGGAATTCTACCGTGCCAGTACATTTACCTGTCTTGGGGTTTGGGAAAATATTCTGGAAGTTCCATAGCACGTATCGGTTCCCCTGCATATAGTAGCACAAATCCATTTCGGATGTCGTTGACTTGATTTCTGATGCGACTTGGATAAGTGAGCCCTTGCTCTTACCGAATCGTATCAACGTTTCACGCAACCCAGAACCCATGCTTTGACTGTTTGGCCGACAGTACTGGTTTTCTCGACGGGCTTTGGGGAGAACAGCGGCCACAAACTCTTCATAAACAGCAGATGCAAACGCAATCTTCTTGAGGCCACGTAGGGAGAACTTGTTCTGACCAGAGACGGGAGTGACATGGACGTGGCCGCCGCAGGAGATATCGCGTTGGGGACTGAAGTGTACACGCATCGCTTCCCAAAAATCGCCAAGTATGCCGCTGACATGTTGCTTGGTATCTAGACGAGGGGAGACGACTTCCATGCAGACTAGGATCCCCTGTTAGTGAGCAAACTAAACAGTTCGCTGGTTTCACGGTGAAGAGAATGACATACCCATGGGACGCTCCCTCTTCAAAGATCCATCTCTAGTGACGAACCATTTACCACCGTAGTACTCAGGATGCTTGCTGTATTTTGAACAGTCATCGTGCACAGCTTCGATGTTGCGGTTCCGTAGCTTCTGTGCTAATTGTCGATACCAGTCGACATTGGTAAAGCTATCAGCACCACCGTAAGGTTTTACCACAGCCTCGATCTCCACGCCGAAGTTGTAATGTCTGAGCTTTGGCACCGTCATGATCGACAAGATGTGAGAAGGATTTAGGGACTCGAAAAAGAAAGTATGGTAGAATTGGCTGGGGTCGGGTTGAAGGTGGCGGATTTGGCCATGCAGCTGTATAAGATAACCACCTTGGTTTTTGAATAATCACCTTGCTGCAGAGAGAGAGAGAGAGTCGTACTACATGAAGGTGATCACCCGTTCCCTGATGCGCTTGTGCCTTGTTCAAAACGTTTGGACACGGCCGCCTGCTTTACCCAGACACAATCACAGAATTGTCAGTTGTTGGCTCTCAGCTTTTTGTCAGTAACACGCTCGCTCGCCTAACCTGAGCTGTCATTGTCACATCTCAAAATTGTCGCCTCGCTTTCAGGTTAAGTACAGCAAAAGCCTTTCTGGCCTCGAATGGCGGTGCGGATGCATGGTTTGGCGGGAGCTGTCGTTGTGGATCTGGCCGGGGGCTGCGGGGAGAAATGCCGGAAGACCGGAGCCACGGTGCGGAGCCCAACAAGGAAATGGAGGCGGGCTGGGCCGTCTCGTAGCGTGTGAATATTCTGAGGCTATCAAACGACACCTGTTTTTGCCTGTCATTTGTAAAGGCCCAGACAGTCGGTATTCACGAAAATGTGACCGCGTCTACCCTGCAAAGTTCGCTTGCCAGGTCCCTTGCGAGTCTTCCAACGTGGGACGCGGCAATTGGCCATGAGTTGGCGTCTCCTCTTGTGAAAATCTGACTCATTTGCTGCCCAATGTGACAATAAGGCCCAGTCGGTGACTTGCACAACCTAGCCCACTCCGCCCATTGAGCGCTGCTGGCGCCGAGCACAGCTACCGTACGTAAGTTAGTTTATGCTTTAGCCAAGTCGACGTGGACACTGCTTGCTTGATCGATGTTGTTTTTCTCATGTGAGGGAGCCGATTCACATCACATCTTAATCACCGTTAGCTCACTATCACATTCTCCTACCACAACGAAAACGTAACGCAACACACACACTCACACTCACAAACATACGCACTTTTTCCCCCTGCACCTCACCATCGGATACACGGAGCTTGCTGCCCCCGACAGATCTCCAGCATGAATTTGTCTGCAGATGAGGCTCAGGCCGACACCGGTCAGCCGCTCACCAAGTACTACTTTGCCTATGGTAGTAATCTTCATCTTCAGCAGATGAAACGAAGATGTCCTGGAAGCAAATTCATCGGCTCTGGGAGGCTGGCAGATCATCGTTGGCAGATCAACGAGCGTGGATATGCCAATGTTATCGAGTCGCAAGGACATTGGGTTGAAGGCCTTGTTTATGAGATCAATCCCCGCGATGAGGCTCGTCTTGACATCAACGAAGGTGTTTCCAAGGACGCATACCAGAAGAAGTACATGACTGTTACGCTACGGCGTGCTGAAGCCGCCTTGTATCGCCGACCTGTGTCTTGGATTGTCAACAATGGTGGTCCGGACCACGCACGAGTCCTTGCCCAGCAAGGGGAAGGGCAGAGGAAGGCCATCAACCACAAGCCACATTTGGAACAGAACATCTTGGTATATATAAGTCCAAGGTACATTGTCGATAGCGAACCAAAGGAGGAGTATATCAACAGGATCAACTCAGGCATTGTTGATGCCACATCCTTAGGGGTCACCAACGACTATATCAGTAACTGCGTCCGGCCCTTCATTCCAGCACCGACTGGCCAGAACTCAGGAGACAAAGAAGCAACTGGGCCTGCGAAAGCTGCCGGACCGCCGAAGCCAAAAGTTGTGAGAAAAGTTCCGAATCCCGCAAAAAAGGTAAAGCAACCTGTCCGCGAGGTCAAGCGAGCAACTCCTCCCAGAGGGAGAGAATCATCACCGCCAAATAACAGGGCACCTGGCCAAAGACCTCTACACCTTCAACCTCAGGTGGTTCAAGGTCAGCGCTGGACCAGGAATGCCGCCTCGAATGTGCCTGAGAGGCTCAGGCGGCCTTCACAGTCACGGCCATCAGCACCACCACTTCCCCCAAGGCCACTCGCGCCGCATTACCCAGGAAACACTCTACAGGTTCCTGTTTCTGGCCGGCGGCGACCTGCATCAGAAGTTGGCGCCCCACCACCGCCTCTACCTCCTCGGCCAACCCGTCGAGTTCGCAGTATACCGGTAATCGTTACTCATCAGGAAGGTTATGGTGGTTATTGGTATCGATAAAAGCATTTCTAGCCCAGTTTCCTTAAAATACCCAGATATGATATCCACTCCAGATAATAAAAGTAGCATACGTGCGTTTTATTCTTCTCCATTCATCGTTTTATCCTTTTAATGCCGTTGTCTCTGTTTGCTGACTTCTACGCTTCATAAGAATACAATTTCATAAAAACAAGGGCTAATATCTTTGTCTGCTCGATGCCGATATGACCGATCCAGCTGGCCCTAAGACATGTCAGAGCTTAAAAGGGTGTGGAGAATACCTGTACTCACTCCTTGAACTTGATGCTCTTGATGAGCTTCGACTGGTTCCCTGAGAAGTTGGCGTATTATTCCATAGGAAACTCATGATTGTTGGGCCCTGGAGCACATCCCCGCCCGAGTTAGTGACGAGAACAGTGGGTTTAACAATTGCTTTCAACCCGAGCTTTCTACCACCTTCTACTCTCTCGACGAAAAGCCCGGGAGCTATATCAAAGAGATATATGACACCGCGGCGTGCTTGCGAAGCTGCCTTTGTTCCACTCAAGTCAAGAGTTGCTCCTCCATTCGCCAAATTCAAGCATTGGTAAACCTCCAACCTCGTCGCGGCTGTGCGAGCAGGCCATTTCAATGAAAACACACTGGGCGCCAGGTGAAGCTGATGAGCGAGATCTGCTGCAGGTTCAACAATACTTCGGCGAATAGAATCTTGCAGTTCAGCGGGAGGGCTTTTCGGAGCAATTATTGACAGTAAGGTTGTCAGATCTTCAACAACAAAATTCAGAAACCTCTGCCGGCGCGTTCTGAAAGATGGTTGGTGAGTCAAAGCAGTCAGCGTCTCGCTTCTCCATTCCCTACAATGAGCTGTATCTTGTGAGATGTCAGCGGCTTGGGTATATGCAACACGCTCTGGGATTAAGACAAACCTCTTGGCAATCGAGACATAGTGTTCTCGAGATCATCAACCCATCTCGACGTTCCGTCACCTTCCGTATCATCGAGAGGACAATAAAAAGACTTTGAGAACAGAGTAACGTGGAGATAGTTCATGATGACCCCAGTGATGTGAAACTCATCAGACTGCGTAACATTCAAGCATCGCCTTGACTGTTCCCTAAGAAGAGAAACGAGTCGCAGCCCTTCTGGAGATGATGCTCTGGCAGCAAGGCGGCCAATTTCCAGATCCTCGATAGCATATGCAGCACGATTTTCAACCCAGCGCTGGACATTCCCAACTAGGATCTTGTAGGCTTCTCTAGCCTCTGTTTCTGTGATATCTCTCCTCCTAGGCTGTAGACGAAAGATCTGATCCTGAGCCTCTGCGAGCTGCCGCTGGGTGACGGCAAGTTGCCTTCTGAGAATTTCTGCCTCTTCTGCAAGCTGGCCCTTTTCTGACTCCCGATTTTCAATCTCCTGCTGCCTGGAGTCCAATACATTCTCCGTGAAGCGACGTAAATGGGTCTCGCTGGCCAATTTGTCCTTAAGAGCGGGAGTCTGTAGGGATCCTTGTTTCGTCGTCTCCGGATCCATGATGACGGGTTGCTGTACTCAAATTTATTGTGTATAACAGCCCAAAGATAAAGACGAGTCTGTCAATATCGCACGTGCAAATCGTTAAGCGACAGAGACTGACCAGCAATCCGCTAGATTGGCTCTGTCCATCTGGTAAGTCGAATCAAAGGCAGCACATCAAGGCCAGCTTCCGGCGTACCACCAATGGCCATCAAGACTCCTTGGAAAAGCACTCAATACTCGCAGCCTCACATTGCGGTTGGACCCAAGCATGGTTTCGTTTAGGCGCCAGGTGATGGGTACCTAATGCATTCGGAAGTCTTCCAGCTGTACGACATCAAAAGTCGGTCTCGTCTTAGGCCGCTTCGGCGGCCACTGCATGCTCCACTGCCTGAATTTACCAGGGTTACAGTCATTCGTAGCTGCACCGATTTTCTGCTCAAGGCCAAGTCTGCAGTGTCCAAACCCCTCTCCACTCAATCAAAAGCCCTGATGAGGCCGAAGTTGGTGGTCAAAGTGGTGGTCATTGCTCCATAACTGGTCGGTGAGGATGAGCGAGGCCCAAAGAACCCCAGGCCCACACAACAAATGAGGCCTGAAGAGTCAGATTGAATGGCTGGCCACGTCCAGAATTACAGACAGATCCTCGGGTGCTGGCGAAGAAATGCTCCGTCGCCCTGCTGGTTTCTATTGTAACCAATTGGGAGTCGACATGAGTGAATTCTGGGGCAATTCCCAGTTTCACGAATGAGCTTTTGGGTAGAGAAGTTCCATATCCCGTACATCATTAGATCATGCCTGACTGTTCCACCACAAATAGTTGACAATGAAACAATCATAGGAAGCCTTTAGGAAGTAGTTTGGTCATGAGCAACCGCAGAATCGTTGTATCCATAGATTTTGGAACGACATACTCAGGTGTCGCTTGGGCTGACACAACTCGGGTAAGTGTTTTTCTAACATCTCTCAGGGTGAGCTTGCTAACCCTTGCAGCCTGATGTTCAACATGTCTTGACAGAATGGCCCTCGGCCGGCTCTTCGAAGAGCAGTCCCAAAGTACCAACTGAGCTCCGGAGAGTGGCAACTGGGTGGCAGTGGGGATTTCAGATTCCTGAGTCTGCGAAGAGGATCAGGTATTTCAAGCTGTTCGTCTTGCTGAGCCTTCAGTCCATTTGCCATGTTTGACCAGACCTTTTAGAAAGTTGGATGATCCAGCGCAGATCACCAAGGAGGGAGAATCGGCAAAAGACCTGACTAAGGTCTATCTATCATGCCTCCATGAGCATTTCGTCAGCCTACTTGAGAAGAGACTATCGTCAAGTGTGGTAAAATCAACACCCATGGACTTTGTCGTCACAGTCCCCGCTATTTGGTCGCCAAAAGCCAAGCAATCGACGGAGCAGGCCGCAGCCATGGCAGGATTTTGTGGTAATCAGAGGATCCAGCTCATATCAGAACCGGTGGGTTGAGTTTCGAGTCGCAGAGGGAAGTGTGTTGCTAACAAACGACAAGGAGGCAGCCGCTTTGTACACCCTCAAGACCCTTAGCCCCTCTACATTACAAGTAGGTCGAAAATTTGTTGTTTGCGATGCGGGAGGCGGCACCGTTGACTTGATCTCTTATCAAGTAACCAAAATAGGCAGAGTTGAAGTAAAAGAAGTCACAGAGGGTACAGGCGGGAAGTGCGGTTCATCCATGCTGAATATGCGCTTTCGTCGGCATCTGAAACAAACTCATGGAGACAAGTACTGGACTGATGAGAGACTCGTAATAGCTTTGGGTGAGTTCGAGTCGGTAAGATTTCCAAGGTTTTATTTCCAGCCAGTTCGCTCAGAGGGATACAGTTTAAGAAGACCTTTTCTCCTAAGGGCGAACCTTTGACTCTCAAAGTCGATCCCAGTCTTGGCCTACGACGGAACCGATACACTATGACACAAGACGATATGAAAACCAAAATTTTTGAGCCCATCATGAAGGATGTCGTTTGTCTTATCAAGGAACAGATCAAGATGGCGGGAGATGGTGTCGCCGCTGTGATCATGGTTGGAGGATTCGGGCAAAGTCGATATTTGAAGTCACGCGTACGCGATGCAATATCTAGCCGAACCGATGTTCTTCAACCAGAAAGTGGCTGGACGGCGGTGGTAAAAGGTGCCGCGATGCATGGGCTCAGTCGATATCAGCCCGCAGGCACCCGGGTGGAGGTTGCATCTCGAATTGCAAGACGATCGTATGGTACATGCTTGATGACGAAATACGATATGATGAAACACAACCCCAGAGAAGCGTTCGTACACATTCTTCCAGGCGAATCTGGTCGCTGACGGTTATAGGTTCTGGTCGGAAAAGGAACAAGAAACAGTCGTCTCAGAAATGTGTTGGTTTATTCAGAAGGTATCTTGACTCCTCTCCAAACTGCGTATTCATTGCCACTAACTTTGGAAGGGTGAGTCCTACCCAGAAGGCAAACCGTCGCGGATAGAATACCAATGCGATCTCCCGGTAATGCTTGGCCACGTGCCACAAACCGAGATCGATATTTACAGCAACAATAATGACGGGAAAGCTCCCGTCCATCTCGATGAAACTACGCAGCACATCGGAACGCTCTCACTTGACCTAAGAAAGATCCCAGAAGCAGTCAAAAGAACCGCGAAGATCAGACGAATGGGTTGGCACCGGTACTATTGTTTGAAAGGGGCTATCGAAGCCGTGTACGGGTCAGCGGAGATCACGTACACAGTCAAACTTGGAGGTAAGACATTCCGTAGTGTTTCTGGTGTACCAAATGCTAAGCCGCGCTCGTCTAGGAATAACACATGACATGATCAGTGTTCGCTATGAACGTTGAGCTAGATGACAAGTTCCGACGTCAGACAAGAGTAAAATGGGAAGATGATTGTGCGAGATCATATATCGATACCACTATATAAGGTAGCCTCTGCCGTTGTATGCCGACCATCGTAATAAAATGTCGTTTAAAAGGGATCCAAGACCACCAGAAAGCTACCTCCTAGATGGTTCTCATTGATCACGTGATTTCGTGTTGCCCCACCGTGACCAGTCCCGTCGCGTCCTCAACGCTGAAGGTACGGACCTCAGGGATCTAACCTACCTAGTAGGTACTATCTTGACCTCAGGACGCCAACTTTAATCATCATCTTTGAAGCAACAAGATACAGCCGCACCCAACGATGCTGCATTCATCATGGCGGCTAATCTACATTTAAGGGCGGCTGTACCGGATCATGGGCAACCGGGCAGTGGAGTTGTTGCTGGCCCTCCTCCATCAACCTTAGCTGCGCAGCTTGTGGAGAATATTTCAGCATCCACGAAATCCTCCAAATCAGATGAGAACAGTGAACTCAAAGGCTTCTTTGCTATTATCCAACGCGTCAAAGATGATCCGACTCTTCTCAAGACGCCAGAGGACCGAGTTGAGCATAATCATATGCTCATTTACGTTTACTCAAGAGCTGTTCTTGAAGGAATTCGATTAGATGACCCATTCCTTGATCGCACACAAGTACGGACAGAAGGCCTCAAGGCCATCAGTTTTCTCAGGTTCTCTATCAAAGAAACGCCGGCAGTTCTGAAACATAGAGTGGGTGAGCAAGAGTATATGTTCCGTGGGCGGGAGCCATTATGGGTTTGGCTGCTTCCTCAGCTGCTTAGACTTCTTGGCCATTCGCAGTGTCTTGAACTCACAGAAGCAATTGAAGGCTTCCTCCAGTATACAATGCTAGTAATAGCACAAAACTGGACCCTGTGGGATATGGCGCCATCATTCTTATTCCATCTGCGTACCATCACATCTCGTAAGTAGTTAGCTCGACTTGGACAATAAAGGAACTCACAATCAATTGACAGATATCCTTCAACAGCTTCAAGACCCTTTACTAGTTCCATCTGTGGAAGAAAGTTTCAAGTCACTTTCTCTACCTCCTCAAATTGCTCTCAGCCAATTCGTCGACAAGGAGTCGCCCTCCACAAACCAACTTACATATTCTGTTGACCGAATGTCACAAGCGCTGCACCAACTGATCAGTTTTTGCAAAGTTGTGGCCTATCCTCTGACAGCTTCAGATGATGTCTTTGATAACGTTACCTCCTTCTCAGAGACTGTGGTATGGTTGATTGATGTCTTAGGGGACATGCGGGTTATCCAGACCCGGTACGGTAGCAACTTTCCTGCCACTTCGCTTTATGTTCTCCAACTAGCTCAAGAAGTCGAGCGAGCACTACTGAGAAGAAAAGGCATCAGCGCTTCTGTTCACAAGAAGGCCATCACTCTCATGGTATTGCTTTGTGGTGAGATCGCGACAAGCCTCAATCCCATGCCAATGCTAGACATTGATGAGGAAACGCGGCGTACATACTGCATGGCTCTAGCTATAATAACGGCAGCTTCTACTGAAAATACGTCGATTTGTCGGCTAGCGGTTTCCGGCATTGTAGATGAGTCTTCAATGTTTTATACTTCCCTGCCTGAAGGAACAGATCTGTGGGTGGGTTACATCCTCCATAACTCCTCCATCAGCAACTAATTCTCAACAAGAGAGTGATACAGACTTTACGACAGATTAATTTTAATCCCAGGCCAAAGCTGCTCTCCTCAAATCTACATCCACTGAGTTTTGAGGATTCTGCAGTGCAAGAGATCATCGAGGTCTTGGCGCTGAACTACGAGCCTCCTGACACAGGTTCACAAGACCGTCCCAAACGCCGAAAAATAGCAGAGGCAGACTCTAGCCCCATGGCGGTCCTCATGAGACGTTTGGGAGACGTTCTAGGGATTGCGGATGTGGACGATGATTTTCTTGATCTTGAAACGCAAATATTGTTAGTCATTCCTTTAATTTGGTCTTCAAATGCTTACTGAAGTAGGGGAGCCTTTCCAAAGGCTGACATATCACGTCAATGTCTCGTGCTTGATTTGCTATCGCAGATATCTTGCGTGGCGGATGGTGGCAACGAGACAATCAATGATACAAAAGCAGCAGTGACAGAAATAGCCT